AGTATTCCATTGTACATAGGTACCACATTTTCTTCATCTGTTCATCTGTCGGTGGACATCTCGGCTGCTTCCATGTCTTGGCTATTGTGAATAGTTCTGCTGTGAACACTGAGGTACACTTTCTGGATATATGCCCAGAAGTGGGATTGTAGGACCATACGGATCAAACTGTCTGTTTAGTTTTTTAAGGAGCCTCCATACTGCCCTCCATAGTGGCTGGATCCACTTACATTTCCAGCAGCAGTGTATTAGGATTCTCTTCTCTCCACATCTTCTCCAGAGTTTATTTGTAGACTTCTTAATGATGGCTATTCTGACTGCTGTGAGGTGTTATCTCCCTGTAGTTTTGACTTGCATTTCTCTAATAATTAGAGATGTTGAGCATTTTTACATGTGCCCATTGGCCATCTTCATGTCTTCTTTGGAGAAACATCTATTTAGATATTCATTTTTTGCCTATTTTAAATATAATAGGCACTTTATTTTTAGTTCTTTACTTAACTACGTGTAGTACATTATTTTGTCTTTACGGGAGCACTTAAGTCTGTTAAGTTACCTGGAAGATGGTTCTTTTTGTTGCTCAGTTGCTCAGTCGTGTCTGACTCTTTGCGACCCCATGGACTATAGCACACCAGGCTTCCCTGTCCTTAACCATCTCCCAGAGCTTGCTCAAACTCATGGCCATTGAGTCGATGATGTCATCCAAACATCTCGTCCTCTGTATCCCCTTCTCCTCCTGCCTTCAGTCTTTCCCAGCATCAGGATCGTTTCCAATGAGTTGACTCTTCACATCAGGTAGCCAAAGTATTGGAGCTTCAGCATCAGTCCTTCCAATGAATATTCAGGATTGATTTCCTTTAGGATTGACTGGTTTGATTTCCTTGCTGTCCAAAGGACTCTCAAGAGTCTTCTCTAGCATCACAGTTCAAAGGTGTCAGTTCTTCCACACTCAGCCTTTTCTGTTGTCCAGCTCTAATATCTCTACATGACTACTGGAAAAACCATAGCTTTGACTATTTGGACCTTTGTCAGCAAAGTAATGTCTCTGCTTTTTAATACATTGTCTAGGTTTGTCATAGCTTTTTTTCTTCCAAGGAGTAAGCATCTTTTAATTTCACAGCTGTAGTCACCATCTGCGGTGATTTTGGAACCTAAGTAAAGTCTGTCACTGTTTCCATTGTTTCCCCATCTGTTTGCCTTGACGTGATGGGACCGGATGCCATGATCTTTGTTTTTTTAATGTAGAGTTTTAAGCTAGTTTTTTACCTCTCTTCTTTACTGGGATGTTACTGACATATGACATTGTATAAGTTCAAGGTGTATAGTGTAATGATTTGACGTATGTATATGTTTATTGTTTAAGTTGTAAGCAAGCTTTTTCACTCTCCTCTTTCACCTTCATCAAGAGGCTCTTTAGTTCCTCTTCACTTTCCACCATAATGGTGGTGTCATCTGTATATCTGAGGTTATTGATATTTTTCCCAGCAATCTTAATTCCAGCTTGTGCTTCATCAAGCCTGGCATTTCTCATGATGTGCTCTGCATGTAAGTTAAATAAGCAGGGTGACAGTATATAGTCTTGATGTACTCCTTTCCCAATTTTGAACTGGTCCATTGTTTCATGTCCTGTTCTAACTGTTGCTTCTTGACCTGCATACAAGTTTAGCAGGAGGCAGGTAAGGTGGTCTGGTAGATCCATCTCTTTAAGAATTTTCCAGTTTTTTGTGATCCACACAAAGATTTTGGTATAGTTAGTGAAGTAGAAGTGGATGTTTTTCTAGAATTCTCTTGCTTTTTCTATGGTCCAGTGAATGTCGGAAATTTGATCTCTGGTTCTTGTGCCTTTTCTACATCCAGCTTGAAATCTGAAAGTTCTCTGTTCATGTGCTGTTGGAGCCTAGCTTGGAGAATTTTGAGCGTTACTTCGCTACCATGTGTGGTAGTTTGAACTTTCTTTAGTGGTGCCCTTTTTTGGGATTGGAATGAAAACTGACCTTTTCCAGTCCTGTGGCCAGTGCTGAGTTTTCCAAATTTGCTGACATATTGAGTGCAGCACTTTAACAGCATCATCTTTTAAGATTTGAAATAACTCAGTTGGAATTCCATCACCTTCACTAGCTTTGTTCATAGTGATGCTTCCTAAGGCCCACTTGACTTCACACTCCAGGATGTCTGGCTTTGAGTGATCACACCATCGTGATTATCTGGGTCGTGAAGATCTTTTTTGTATAGTTCTTCTGTGTATTCTTGCCACCTCTTAATATCTTCTGCTTCCGTTAGGTCCCTGCCATTTCCGTCCTTTATTGTTCCCATCTTTGCGTGAAATGTTTCCTTGGTCTCTGATTTTCTTGCAGAGATCTCGAGCCTGTCATTCTCTAGGAACAGTTAGTAAGCTGCTCTCCAGCTCACTAATGATTTGTTCAGAGGTGAGGGAGCTGTGTGTCTTTCTCTTGCTAGCGTTTAGTGTTCTTCCACTTCAGATGGAAGGACATGTCCTGTGATGTTTCTGTTCTCTCAGATGCAGGGTGTTTCTTTAATACGTGGTCAGTTTTTTTAACTGTTCTGCAGACTTTGGAAAAGGATGATTACTCTTTATAGGGTATTGACTTTAAAAGTCAGTTGTTCAGTTGAACCTGTGGTGGCATCCAGTTTCCCATTTGGCATTTCCCCCACTAGCCAGGCTGTCAAATTTGAGAGAGTTGTGTTGAAAATCCCACATCAGTGTAGTCATGCTAAAATCTTGCATCAAGTGTGGAAATTTCTGTTTCTGGCAGTTTTTGCTGTATTTAGTGCTCTCTGAGTCCATGTGTGTTACAGGTGTGTGACTGTCCTGTGTCCTTTGAGATGTTGGGTCCTTTGCGTCGTAACACATTCGCCCTGGCCCCCACACCTCCCTTGCCTTGGGTTCTCTGTTGCTGCGCCCTTCACAGCTCCCTTCTCCTCCTGGTGACCCTGCTTCAGGGGCCCAAAATGGCCTTTTGATCTCGACCTTTTGTGTTACTTGTAACTGCCTCTTATGAACACTGTATCCTGGATTTAGTGTTGTTGTCCAAGCGCACTAGGGAATTTCTGGAGTAGGAAATGGCAACCCACTTCAGTAGTATTGCCTGGAAAATTCCATGGACAGAGGAGCCTGGTGGACTACAGTCCATGGGGCCGCAAAGAGCCGGACACAACTGAGCACTGGGGAATTTAACTCCCGTCACGTGATCTGTACTTGAGGTTTGTCGTTTTCTCTAGTTCTTCTTCTCCCCACGTTAAATGCCCCAGTCCACTTCAAACCTACCCCAGACTGCTGGCATATTGGTCTTCAAATTCTTACCAGTACTTTTAGGCTTACGGTTTTCTATTTTAGGAATTAATCAGTTTCAAATTCGCACTCAAATCAAGATAAGATCTTTTAATATGCATGTAATTTAATTCTTAGTTCTGATATATTTTGTTTTATTGAAAAATAGTTACAAATGTTAGCAATTATACTTTTAAAATATGTGTTTTTTCCCCATAATGAAATCACCCCCCAAAACTCCAAACTAACATACCCACAGTGGAAGTAGGTGAAGCTCCAGACTGCCTAGGGCCCCGTGACTCTGCTGTTCTGGTTCCGCGGTGTCTTTGGAAGGGGTTAAGTGGTCGTAGCTGCCTGCTGTCAGCCTAAACCGGCCAGCTCTCTCATCAGCGAAGCAAGTGTACTCGGGAGTGGCAGAGGACACGCACGCTGTGGCCGGCGGCCGTGGGCGGGTCCTGCAAGCAGGGGAGAGGGGCCTCACCGGACAGACAGGAGGAGGAAGTCGGGCGCTTTGAGGGTCCATTGAGGACAGCGACGGTCGTGTGACGGCTGCTTCCCCTTGGCCGGGCTCCCTTCCTCCTTGCGGGGCCAGCGCCTTCCTGCCCGGGGTGTAAAGTTAGCGTGTGGGAGGCGCAGTGCGCCTCATTCCCCCGCGGCTCCCCTGCTCATTTGCATGCCTGGCTGTGCAGTTGGCTGTTGGGATCGGCTGGAGGTGCAGAGCAGGTCTGCCTGAATCCTGTGGGCCGCGGGGGACCCAGGCTGCTTCAGGGCGGCCAGCCTGCAGCCTCAGAAACCTTCCCCGGTCCTTTCCGCGAGCCAAGGCTGACAGGATGGAAGAGCTCCCTGTGGGATCTCTCGGGACGCCAGGGGCCAGAGCCGTCCCCAGGGCCCTCACAGACGCAGCGAGGCCAGGCGCGGCGGTCAGGCTGAGCCCAGGAGGACGGTGCAGGGTCTCTGCCGTCCCCTGCTTGCGCTGGTGTCGGGCACGAGGGGAGCCGACCAGCCCCTTCCCTGCTGGGCCTCCCTCCCAGAGCCCGGCCCTCCTGGAGCCTAGTCCTCAGGCCTCCGGCTGTGGCCCCGAGAAGCACAGCCTTGCTTGGTGGTTGTGTCCGAAGGAGGCCTCGGCCCAGGACTCTCACGGGATGCCGGACGGCTTCCTCATTATCTGTGGCAGGCCTGACAGCTCGCCAGGTTGATTGCTCAGTTGGTTTCGTCCGCTCTGACGCTTCTCGCCCAGAGCTGCGCGGGGAAGGTGCCGATGAGCACGGAGACGGTGCGCGTGCGGGTGACTCTGTCCTGCCCCGCCAGGCTGGCTCCCTTAGCCAGAGAGAGACGTTCACTTAAGAGGTGCACACTCACATCCAGACAAGGAGGCAGAAGGTCTAAGCTGCTGTTCCACAAGCGTAAATGCAGAAAACAAATGCGTAAAAATTTGCTCAGCCTCACTGGTAATCCGCAAAATGCCCACGAAGCAGCCCGCAGGCGTATGTGCTTCTGCCGGAGCCTGAGCGGTGCACACGCGAGCCTGGCCCACCTTACACAGCAGGGCACACGTGTCCCGCCCACTAGCTGCAGTGTCCTCAGCTGCTCCTGTCAGGGAAAAGGGGCCCCCGGGAGCTTGTGTGGCAGACGGCTGGGCGAGGGAGGCCCAAGCTGGGGAGCAGAGGGGCCCGTCTCCCCAGGGCCGCGCTGAGGTGCGTGTCTTCTGCAGACCCCTGCCTGTACATCCCACGCTTTGCCCACCTGCTGGAGTTCGGCGAAAAGAACCACGAGGTGTCCATGACGGCCATGAGGCTTCTGCAGAGGATGAAGAGGGACTGGATGCACACGGGCCGCCGGCCCTCGGGACTCTGCGGGGCAGGTGCGGCGTGCGGGGCGGCTACGGGCTGTGGGGTTGAGCTGCGGGGCCCCACGGCCGTGTGGGAGGGCAGTCTGTGCCCACCCTTCAGTGGGCTGGGCTGCTGCGCGTGCTTCCTCCCAGAGCTGCCTCCCGGCTCCCCCTGCCCGGTCCTGACCCAGCCCTCAGGGCCTCTGCCTGCTCCCTGGTGGCCTCCTCGGCCGTTGGGAGTGGGCAGGACCCTCAAGCCAAGGGGACTCCAGGCTTCCCAGCCTTGACCCGAGGCCTGAGTGGAGGCGCAGCGTTCTGAGTCGTTGCTGCAGCCCCGCCCCCCCATTTGGACCTGGAGCCCCGCCGGCCCCCTCTCTCTCCCTCCCGCCCCACAGGGTCAGGGCTGTGTGGGGGCATGTCCAGCGCCGAGCCTGCGTCCCCAGTTTCCAGCCCAGAGCTGGGCCTTTCCAAGGGCCAGCCAGTTGTGGTCACCGTGTGCAGCGCAGCAGGGTCCATCCCGTGTCTCCTCAACGTTCCCGTACGCCTCAGCTCAGAGTTCACACGCTTGCTTTGAGAGGTTACACAAAATTCTCTTTAATACTTGCATTTAAAAAAGGAGCCTGTGAGCAGCACCTTCTTTGTTTGTAAAACGATCGTGTAATCGCTGGCAGCGTAGCCAGTGCTCTAGGGTTCTCACAGTCCGGAGCCTGCAGCACTGCCCACAGGAGGAGAGCAAGTCAGTGTCGCCGTGGCTCCCGGAGCCCCCGCAGTGGGTCACAGCCCTCTGCGCCCAGGGACGCTCCTGGTGTCGCTGGATTGTCCCCTTTCTGAATTCCCTGTGTTTCTTCCCAGCACTTCTGGTTGCAGCCAGGATGCATGATTTCCGGAGAACTGTCAAGGAGGTCATCAGCGTGGTCAAGGTGTGCGAGTCCACTCTGCGCAAGAGGTGGGTGGCTCTGGTCCTGCCTGGTCCCCGCCAGCTCCCCTCCACAGTCCTCTGTCTGTGTGGCGGCCCCTTTCTTCCATCCGGGGTTGAGAGGGACAGTGGCTTGTGAGGTCACCCTGACTCGCAGGTCAGGAATGGGTGCTGAGGGCGGCTGTGCCCATCCCCTGGCCGGCGCAGCCAGCGTGATCCACGGAGGTGGCAGCTGTCCCTTCCCAGAGTGGCCAGGGAGCTGCTTCTTGGGCAGCGAATTCCCAGAGTCATCGCGGCAGCTCCGGCCAGAGCTCCACTCAGCCTGGCGTGAGCAAGTCGTGGGCATGCCGGTCACTGCAGCCCGCTTACCCCGAGTCGGGAGCCCCTGATGGCTGTGTTTGAGCTGAGATCATATTCTACAGCAGCTTTCAAAGCAGAGGGAGTTTGGTTTGCTTATTTGATCTCTAGTTCTCTTTATGGATTCTTCTGTTAAACACTTTGAAGATTGTGTGGGAAATGGGCAAGAATTAATCATGGTTTCGCTCACTGCCACACAGGAGGCACTGGGGGCCTTCTTCCCGGAGTCTCCCTGAGGGGCCTGCCCTTGGCTCCCGGGGAAGCCAGCCTTCACAGTCCAGCAGGACCGAGAGGCTGCTGGGCAGGCCTGGGGCCCGTGCGCACAGCTGCGTGTGCGGGCGCTGGGCCCGGGCCCACGACCCCCGAGGGTTTCACTAACTGGGTGCTGGTTACTGTGCTGCTCGGGGGCGCCAGATTCCCTTTCCTCTGTGTGTTTCAGGCTCACGGAGTTCGAAGACACGCCCACCAGTCAGCTAACCGTGGACGAGTTTATGAAGATTGACTTGGAGGAGGAGTGCGACCCGCCGTCCTACACGGCTGGGCAGAGGAAGCTGCGGCTGAAGCAGGTGGCCCCTGCACGCGGCCTCCGCCGTCGCGGTGCCCCGTCATTCCTCCCAGACAGTGGCTTCGTTACGAAGACTGACGAGGGCATGCGTCCACGCACAGCCCCAGGAGAGGCGGGTGGGGCACTGAACCCGGGGTGGGGGTGGCCGGGATGGGCTGCACCGGCCACCGTCCCTCCTGGGCCCCAGGTCCGCTCATCCGCTCGTGGGGTCTCCCCAGGCTGCCCGAGTGCTCCAGCACAGGTTCTCAGGGGAGCTTCCTTCCTGCAGGGCCCAGCATCTGTCTGGCCTGAAGCCACGTCCTGCCTCTTGGGGTGGGGCCCTGCCCAGGGCCTAGAGGCCTGCGGGCCCGGGGCCGAGAGGCCTGCGGGCCCACGGCCTGGTCCTCCCGCCACTAAACACTCGTGTCCTTCCTTTGCAGCTTGAACAAGTCCTATCGAAACAGCTGGAGGACGTGGAAGGTAACCGCCCATCTCCCTGGACAGAGGCTGCAGGGCCTTACAGGGACAGAGTTCATGATCACTTTTTGCTTTTAACTTATTGCTTTAGGTGAGATAACCACCTACCAGGATGCCATTGAAATTGAGCTAGAAAACAGCCGGCCCAAGGCCAAGGGGGCGCTCGCCAGCCTGACGAAGGATGGTGAGTCCAGCCATGTCCGGAGCCACCCTGAAGTCTGCCTCTGCCCAGCCCCTCCCGCTGCCAGCCTCCTGCCCGCCTGGGGCCACCCTGGGCCTCCGTGCTCTCAGGACGCCCCGAGCCACCCTGTCCCCGGTGTGAACACGGCGCGCCTCGTGGCACTTCGGACGGTGCTGCTCTGGCGGTTTCCTGTGTTATCTGTTCGTGCCTTGAGTGGTTCGCCCTCGTTTTCCTGGCTGCGTTACTGGTCTCCCACTGAAGCAGCTCTTGCGCTGACTTATGGGCCCTGCAACCTCTCAGTGCTCCGCTGGCGACTTCCGCCCTCGGTTCTGGCCTGCGGTTGCTGCCCTGCCACGTCCCTCCAGCGGTGCGGGGGGGGCCCACACTTGTCCCGCGTGCTGACGGGGTGCTTTGCTGGCGCTGTCCCTCCTCCGTGCCGCTGTGTTGTGGCCACAGGTCTGCTGGTTGGAGATGCTTGTGGTGCTTGGGGAACAGGCCCCCTGGGCTCCATCCACCAGGGCTGGGCTCCGTGCCTGCCGGGGTGACCCCCGTCCACGCTGTCAGCTGTGTGATGCTCCCACAGGCAGAGGTGGTCTGCCAGGCTGAGGCTGGCTTGTTTTCGGTGTCGGGCGCCCCCTGTGGGCCCGTGTGCACGCCTGGCGGTCTCTGCCCTGCCCGCCTGCCTCCCTGCCCACCCTGGCCATGTTCCCCTCTGGACACAGTGGGGCTCTGCTCTCCGGCCCAGCCTGGACCTCTCTCGCCACGAGGACCTGGCTCCCCTGTGTCTGCTCACGTGCCTTTTGCGAGGCGCTCCCTGGGCCTTGGGAAGCGTGTGTTCTCTCCCCAGGTTTTCTTCACGTGGTCTCTGGAGGTCTCTGTTTCTGGGCCAGCACCTGCTTACAGCCGCCCAGCCACGGGGCTGGGCTCGCTATCCCTGCCCGCATGCTTACCGGGTGCTGTGGAGGGACCACTGGTCTACTCCAGGTCCAGCTTCTCCTGACCGGAGCATCGGGGACGTGTCCTCTACGCCCGCCGCTGGTTACGGGACCGTCTCCACGTCCCACCCCAGCCTCGCTCCTGGTCCGCCCTCCTTGGTGTGAACTCCTTCCTCTGACCCCCGGCCTCCGAGTGGCCCCGCCCTGGCGTGGGATGGCCTGCCTGGGGAAGCCGCCGCTCCCCTGTGAGGAGGAGGAGGCTGGTGCTGGGGGGCGGGGTGAGGAAGGGCCGCACCCGCCGTCAAGTCCATCCCGGAGGCCACGCTGAGTGTGTGCAGGGTGCTGAGCTCTGGGACCCCACGGCGGGCCAGTGTCCTCGCTCTGCGGGCCCTCCCGCGGGCTGTTGGTGACACGCGCGCTGATAGCACAGGCTTCCATGCGAGGGGCCGTGAGGGCGTGAGGGGGTCGTGCATGTGGTCAGCGGCATGTGTCACAGGCCAGGGGCCAGCGGGCACCCAGGCCAGCCTGCAGCTGCCTCCTGCAGCTGGAAGTCGGTTGTGTCTAGAGTACTCTGTGAGAGGGGTCGTCTCTTCTCCGGTTTTTGGCTCCGTGCTGTTGCTCTGAGAGGCCCGTCCCATCAGTCCTCTGGGGCAGGGGTCCCGAGTGTCTGGTCCCGGGTGGAAGTCCATCAGTCAGTCAGTTCAGTCGCTCAGTTGTGTCTGACCCTTTGCGACCCCATGGACCGCAGCACGCCAGGCCGCCCTGTCCATCACCAACTACTCTTGGAGTCCACCCAAACTCATGTCCGTTGAGTCAGTGATGCCATCCAACCATCTCATCCTCTGTTGTCCCCTTCTCCTCCTGCCCTCAATCTTTCCCAGCATCAGGGTCTTTTCAAATGAGTCAGTTCTTTGCATCAGGTGGCCAACAAATTGGAGTTTCAGCTTCAGCATCAGTCCTTCTAATGAATATTCAGGACTGATTTCCTTTAGGATGGACAAGTTGGATCTCCTTGCAGTCCAAAGTACTCTCAAGAGTCTTGTCCAACACCACAGTTCAAAAGCATCAATTCTTCGGCTCTCAGCTTTCTTTATGGTCCAACTCTCACATCCATACGTGACTCCTGGAAAAACCATAGCCTTGACTAAACGGACCTCTGTGGGCAAAGTAATGTCTCTGCATTTTAATGTGTTGTCTAGGTTGGTCATAGCTTTTCTTCCAAGGAGCAAACGTCTTTTAATTTCATGGCTGCAGTCACCATCTGCAGTGATTTTGGAGCCCCAAAAATAAAATCAGCCACTGTTTCCATTGTTTCTCCATCTATTTGCCATGAAATGATGGGACCAGAAGCCATGATCTTAGTTTTCCGAATGTTGAGTTTTAAGCCAACTTTTTCACTCTCCTCTTTCACTTTCATCAAGAGTCTCTTCAGTTCCTCTTCACTTTCTGCCTTAAAGGTGGTGTCATTTGCCTATCTGAAGTTATTGATATTTCTCCCGGCAATCTTGATTCCAGTTTGTGCTTCATCTAGCCCAGCGTTTCTCATGATGTACTGTTCGTATAAGTTGAATAAGCAGGGTAACAATATACATCCTTGACGTACTCCTTTCCTGATTTGGAACCAGTCTGTTGTTCCATGTCCAGTTCTAACTGTTGCCTCCTGACCTGCACACAGATTTCTCAGGAGGCAGGTCAGGTGGTCTGATGTTCCCACCTCTTTAAGAATTTCCCACAGTTTGTTGTGATCCACAGTCACAGGACCTGGGTTATGTGCAGTATGGGACTGTTGCATGTAAACCACTGTGAACATTTGTGTCCATCTTTGCTTCCTTTTCTCGAGGGTAAATGTGGGGGAGTGGCGTTGCTGGGTCGGGGAGACGTGGTCGGGTGGTTCAGAAGCTGCTTCCCAACTCGGCAGCCACAGGCGCGTGGTGTCCGCCCTTGCACTGAAGCTGTGGGGGGGAGGCACCCACAGGCTCGCCGTGGCTGCAGGCGCCTGTCATGACAGGTGACCACCTGTGCCCACCTGCGACGCCGCTGCTGGTCTCTGCTCCCAACTTTCGCGCAGCTGTGACGCCGTTGTGTTTTCAGAGTTGCTCACAGTCCAGAGGCAGGTCCTTGTCAAACGTGATTTGCAGATGAGTCTGCAGCTTGTCTTTTTGTCTTCCTAAACATTGTCTTTCAAAGTAGAGTTCTCATTTTTGATGAAATCTGACTTATCAACGCTGGAGTCAACATTTCTTCCCATCTTTTCTCAGAAACGTGTGTTTGTGCTCGCAGCTGTTAGGCTTGTGTCTGATCTGTTCTGAGTTGGCTTTTACATCGCGTGTGTGGTGTGGGCGCGCTGGGGACAGGCCCCCCGCTGGGAATGTGTGCAGCTGCATGGAAATGCTGTTCCCCGGGTGGGTGCTGCGGCCTCCTGCATGCTTGACAGGGGGCGTGTGAAACTGTCCTAGGCTCCATTGAGGACAGCACGTCCAGCTTGCTTGGAGAGGAGGACACGGAGGATGAGGAGCTGGAGGCCGCGGCCAGCCACCTGAACAGAGACTTCTACCAGGAGCTGCTGGGGGGCGGCGTCCCCGGCGGTGCGGCGGCGGCGGGGGGCCCCGCAGCAGGCGGCAGGCCCCCTGCGCTGGAGTCCCTGCTCGGGCCTCTGCCCACGGCGGCCAGCCTGGGCATCTCGGACTCCATCCGGGAGTGCATCTCCTCCCCGAACCGCGAGCCCAGTGAGTGCCGGGGGCTGGGGCGGCGGGGGTTTCCCGGCTGGGCCGTGGGAGCTGCTGAGGGTCAGCCTTGTGTGAGGGCAGGTTCGGGAGGGGCTGTGCCGGCAGCCGGGTGCCCGCAGCACTTGGCAGTGTCTTCGTGGCCCTTGGCACTGGCCCAAGCCCACAGCATGGTTGGCTGTGGCCACCATCTCCTTCCTGCCCCTCAGCGCAGGAAGCCAAAGCCACACGTCACAGGGGGCCACAGGGGCAGACTGGCACCCCCGCCCGTCCCCTGCGTCGGCCGCCTCTCCACTGGACGGACGGGCACTGCTTGCTGGGCTCCGGTGCCCGCAGGGCCCTCCCCACGAGGAAGGCAGGGCTGGTTCCCTTGCGTCTCACGCGAGCATGGCCTCATCTCCTCCCTGGCACTGGGGGCTCGGCCTCTGTGTGAGGAGCCCCTGTGAGCGGGACGCTGCTCGATGCCCACGCTGTTCCCTGCAGGCAGACGGGGGCCCTGACGCAGACCTGGCTCACCTGCTGGGCACGAGCAGGCTGCACCCCCGGGGCTGCTGCGCCAGGGCGCCCGGGTGCAGGGCCCTGAGCAGAGGGCTCGCACGGGGCCCGGGGGCAGCAAGAGGCCGTCCTGGCTGCAGCCGAGAGCAGGGCCCCCACTGCGGGCAGTGAGGGCGCAGGGTGGCCCGATGCCCCTCTGTGGGCCGGGACCCGCAGGCCGAGGGGGCGGAAGGGTGGCAGCCCAGAGGTCTGGGGGGGTCCTCAGCGCGGTCATGGAGGCTCCCTGGAACCCCCTCCCTGGAACGTTGTTGAGGAGCTCCTCCGTAAGGAGCGTGAGGACAGGGTCTCCTCTGGGTCAGAGTTGTTTCCCCCATGAGGCCCTGGGAGCAGCGTGGGGGGAGAGGCTTGGAGCCGCCCTGGCCCAGCCTGGGGCCCCAAGCCCCGAGCCAGCCCCGGGTGAGCTGTGCGCCTTTTCACGGGAGGCCGAGCCTGAGTCCAGCCTGTGCTTCCCCCCAGAGGATGCCTGCGGGGATGGGGAGCTGGACCTGAGCGGCATCGACGACCTCGAGATCGACCGGGTAGGTGCTGCCTGCGCATGGGGCCTCCCGGGGCGGGGGCCAGGTTGCGCCCCCTGGGGAGTCCCAGGCCTGCGGTGGTAGTGGGCTCTGAGCAGGCTGCCCGGCAATGCCAGTCCGCGGGCAGCGGGAAGCCCTTCCCCTGATTTGTCAGCAGTTGCCTCAGGCCTGTGGCCACTGCCGGTTCTTCAGCTGCTGTTGTGGCCGTCAGTGCAGCTCCTTCTCTGGGACCCTTGAGCCTGCACTCTGGCAGGCCTGGCTCCTGTGGCCTGGGGCCTGCGAGCTGCTTGGGAGGGTGCAACCCTGGGGCTGGCCTGGGGAGGGCGGGGGACGGCGAGCCGAGCTCGGGCTCCACACACGTTCCCTCTTGGGTCAGGGACCTGCTTCCTGACTGGCGCGCACCAAGCGGGCAGCCTTGTGGCTGAGCTCCAGGCATGCCCTCTGAGTGACCCTGTGCTCTGCCCCAGTACATCCTGAATGAGGCAGAAGCCCGTGTGAAGGCCGAGCTCTGGATGCGGGAGAACGCTGAGTACCTGCGGGAGCAGAAGGGTGAGTGCCCGCCCAGCGCCCGCCCAGGTGCCCGGGACGCGGGCCTCTCTGACCCCGCTCCTTGGTCTTTCAGAGAAAGAAGCGAGAATCGCGAAGGAGAGGGAGCTGGGCATCTACAAGGAGCACAAGGTGGGCGCCCCCCCGCCCCGCCAGGGTCCTCAGTGCACACCTCCGGGCTGTGCTGGCAGCCTCTCGCCCGCAGGTGGCCGGCCCCTGCCCTGGATGGTCCCGCTTGAGGCGCAGGACGGCTGGGGGCTGCTTGGTGGGCCGCGGGCCGAGGGCAGTGCTGGCCACCCAGGGGCCCATGTCTCCGGGGAGGGTGAGAGGCCCCAGCCAGCCCTGATGGCGTGAGTCTCCTTCCCAGGAGTCCAGCTGGTGCCCCCTACGTCCTGACTGGCACCTCGCTGGTTCGTGGCACCAAGACCCACAGGAAGCGTAATTTCTGTGTTTCCCTCAAGCCCAAGAAGTCCTGCAAGCGCCGGGAGCCGATCCAGGCCAGCACGGCCGGGGAGGCCATCGAGAAGATGCTGGAGCAGAAGAAAATCTCCAGCAAGATCAACTATAGCGTGCTGCGGGGCCTGGACAGTGGGGGCGGCCCGCCCGGGGAGGATGGCCCCCCGTCCCGGGAGCATGGCCCCCCGCCCGGGGAGGACACGGCCCCCCAGGGGGAGGCCGCCCGGCCCCCAGAGCGGACCAGTGCCCGGAGGCTGTCCCGGCGGAAGACGCCCTCCAGAAGAAGCCGGCCTGACCCCTCGACCAGCGTGGGCAAGAGGTACTGTGCCGGGTGGGCCTGGGGGACAGGCTGCGGTCACTCACCACCCGCATGCCAGAAACCAGTGTCGGCCTCCGGGGCCCCCGCCACCATGGTGGGGAGCTGAGTGGGGCTCCAGGCTTGGACGGGGCCCGCAGCATCAGAGACGGTCCTGACTGAAGAAATGGGGTAGGGGGGAGGCCAGGCCTGTTGCCCACTCAGGGGCTCTGGAAGCCCCCACACTGCCCCACCCTGGGAGAGGAGACCACAGCGCGGCCGGCAGGGCTGGGAGAAGCTGGGAACGCAGCCGCAGGGCCCTTCTCATTGGGGCCGGTGGGCCTCCCTGCGTGGACAGGTCCAGGCAACTCTGCACACCGGCCCCTCGGGCTCCCTTTAGGCCCGAGACTGGTTGGCGTGCGCCCCACCTGGCCCCGGGTGTGCTCGCGGGGCGCTCCCGGGGGGCAGGTGGTGCTGGGCTCTGTGGGGCTGGACCCCCACCCTCCCCCTCCTCCATCAGTGTCCCTGGTGCTCGTAGGCCCTGCTCAGAGGCCTGGCCGCCCGCGGGGCAGTGTGGGAACGGCTGTGGGGCACGTCGAGAGGAGGGCCCGAGACACAGACCTGTCCCTTTGGCCTTCCTCCTGCACCGCTGATGCGCCTGCCCATGGGGCGGCCCTTGGGTGCTAAGGAGCGTGCCTCTGGCTCCCACCTCTTGGGCTCCGGGACTCCGGGCTGCTCTGCCCGCCCCGGGTCACTGCTGCTGCAGCCCCGCACACCCGTTTCCCTGGAGAACCGTCCAGCGGGAGGGACCGATTCAGCCCGCGCACAGCCGTGCCTTCACCTGCCGCCTCCCGCTCCAGGCTGCCGGCCAGGGCCACAGGGAGCCAGGGCCCCCGTGAGAGCCCTAAGCCCCTGCTGCTAGCGGGACAGGCTGCCCGTGGTCCAGCCAGAGACCCCTGCTGTTGGGTGTCCACCGCTGGAGGCTCTTGCGGGGTCCGTTGTGGGTGTGTACAGTGCAGTGCAGGCAGGACGATGGCGGCTGCAGCCTGAGGGTCCCAGTCCCCCCCACTGTGCCCTGCGTGGACGCGAGCAGGCCAAGAGGGTGGCCTGCCTGTCAGCGACCTGCCCAGCCCGCGGGGTCGGGATGGGTGGAGGGCGGCCAGGCCTGGGTGCAGGAGGCAACTGTGGGGCCAGCACTTGAGGCCCCTGGGGACAGGACCAGCGTCCCTGGCCTCCACACCCTGCCAGGTGCGGTCAGAGGCAGGCCTCTCCGGGCGGGTCCTCCTGGGTGGGGGTGTGGCTTGCGCTGAGGCCGCCTCACTGTGTGCTCTTCCAGGTTGAGGCCGATGGTGTCGACGCAGCCTGCGAAGAAGGTGGCGCTTGGAGAGGTGCGTTGGCGGGGGGCTGAGCTGGGCCAGGCGGGGATCCTCGGGGAAGAGGGTACGGAGGGCGCACCCTCCCAGGCAGCGGGGCTGGGCTCCGGGAGCCGGGGCCCGGCAGTGGGGCGGTCCTGCCCCGGTGGCCCGGAGCATGCCCGCGCCTGCACAGCCCTCGCCTCGCCTGCAGGCCTCTGTCCCGAGCCCCCGCTCCCTGGAGGCCGAGCGCGTCAGGCCCGCGGCCGTCGTGGTTGAGAGCGGGCCTGTGTCATACCACGCGGAGGAGGACGCGGAGGAGGAGGACGCGGAGGAGGAGGACGGGGAGCCCTGCGTCAGCGCCCTGCAGATGATGGGCGGCAACGGTGTGTGCGGGCGGGCGCTCGGCAGGGCCACGTCGGTGGGGGCGGGGCCGGCCAGGCGGCGCGGAGCAGCGGCCTCACCCCTCGTGGTTACTGCCTCGCGCTCTGCAGATTACGGCTGTGACGGGGACGATGACGATGGCTACTGAGGCGACCTCACGTCCGGCACGTCCGCTGGTGGCCGCGCCACCAGCTCCTGACAGTCCCCCGGCCTCGGGTGAGCTTGTGGTGAGCAGCGAGACTCGGTGACAAGATGGGTGCCCCGCTGCCCGGCGGCCCTCGCGCACAGCTGCCCGTGATCTCGTGGCCTCGCTGTCGGGACCCTGATGCGAGCAACTTGAGGAGCGTATCTATCTCACGGCAGAGCTGGGTCTCTTGCCCCAGGAACCCTTGCCGGTGGCTCTGCTGCGTCCTGTGGAGAGAAACTGTGGCCCAGGGAGTCCCAGCCGCGTGTCCAGGCTTGTGGAGGCCTGGTGGGTCTGGACCCTGCTCTGTCCCGGGGGCCGGGAGCCTGCCCCTCTCGCCGCCTCACTGTGTCTGAGAAGCACTTTGCGTCCAGCTGACGCCCAGCCAGGCCCTCCCCGCTGTGCCCGGGCCCGGGCGCCCCGCAGACGTGCACCAAGGAGCCCACAGTCCGCCTGGCCCCGCGGGGCGGCCGGCACCACTCGGCAGACGCGGGTGCAGCTGTCTGGGCACCTCCTGCCTGAGCTGCACCTGGGTTCCTGTCCTCAGAGGTGTGACCGGCAGAGGCCCTCTGCTTGAGGGCACTCGGAACCTCCTGGGCCAGCCTCACTGCTGGAAGGCCCAGAGCACTTGCCCTGGCCTTGGGCATGGCTGCGCGGGGGACACCCACGAGGGGTCCACAGAGGCTTCCGATCCTCCAGGCCAGCCTTGGCCACCCACCCCTCACGGTGGCAGAGCCACAGCCCCCTGCCCCTGGGGGCTCAGCCACCACCCCAGGTGGGCAGGCCCTGTGGTGTCCGCCCCAGAGGGCATCACGGCTCACGGGGGGATTTCGAGGCCCTTGCTTTGCCCCTCGGCTGGGACCCCAGGGAACCTGGCAAGCTGGAGTGAAAGGTTGGCTGGTGAAACAGGAAGATCGTTGCTTGAGCTGAAACCTTCTGAGTGTGTGGTCTGCAGCCCTGTCCGGCTCCCTGGAGGAGCGAGGTTGGGGGGGTGCGGGGTCTCCAGGCTCCATAGGTGCCCGGTTGTCAGCTGGGGAACCGGTGACTGCCCACCCTCACAGCAAGGCCCTGGGCCCCGGCAGAGGCTCTTAGAGGGGCCTCGTGGATGGGGGGCCCTGCCCCGCACGGGGAGCAGGTTCTGCGCTGGGCCGGAGCCTGGGAGCCTCTGGGGGCGGGGGGCTGGTGGCTGTGGGGGTGGCCAGGCCGCGCCTGCCGTGTTCTAGACACAGAGGTGGCTGGATGCTTCCTCGGGAGGTAGACAGGGGGCCGTCCTGCAGGGCTGATGGCCCTGCGGAGCTGGGGGCATTGGTCAGGCCGGCCTGCAGAGGTGAGGCTGCTGAGCTGGGGGCGGGGGAGCGGGCCGAGCATGTCCGGGGAGGAGAAAGCGTGGGGCAGCCGCAGGGTGCGGAGGCCGGTCCCCAGCTGCACCCACTCAGGTTGAGGTCAGCAGGGTCCTCCGTGGGGTCTCGCCCGAACAGGGCACGCGACTGGCCACCAGGCCCCGCACGGCACTGGGAGTGGCTGGGGGAGACGGCCTGCATGCACGGCGCTCAGGGCGGCCCGTCCCCGCCGCGTGCCCTGCCCCTCCTCCAGCGGGAGGCCAGGGCCTTCCAGGTCCCCTGCCTGCCCCTCCTGCGGGTGTCCTGCTCTCCCCGTCAGTCTTGCTTTCCCAGCTCACCCCCAGCGGCCTGGGGGGTGGAGGAGGGCCGGCCGGGAGAGCACTGCACGGCCTGCACACCTGCAGGCGCACACGTGTGCACGGACACGCCGGTGCTGCTCATGCCGCTCCACCCGTGTCCCTGGGGCCACCGTCAGGGCGCCGGGCCCCGGGCTCTGACGAGACCCAGGGCCACCCCCAGCGGGGCTGAGCTCTGGGGCCCAAGGCCTGATGGTGCCTCGGGCACCCTTGCAGGGCCCCCGTGACAGGGCCGCCCGCCGCCCGCAGAGGACGCAGTGCCTGCTGGCACCCGGTCCATGCTGCGTGCCGTGACCTCGCGCCCTTCCTGCCCCTCTGGGCCACGGAGTCAGGACCATAGGCGCCCTTCCTGGCGGGACTCGGTGGGCACTGCGGTGTGCCACTTGTTGCCTCAGGCCCCCCAAGAAGAGGGGGCAGGCCCGAGACACCCCCGGTGCCCACAGGTGGCAGGGAGCCCCTTCCCGAGCCGGCCTGCCCAGGCCCCGGCCTGCATGCCTGCCCCCCTCCCAGTGGCTCCCCGCGCCCTCCTGGCTCCCACAGTTGTGTCCAGGTGGGTCAGGCCTGCAGATGGGCAGCAGAGTTGGTGGCCGCCTGCTGCCACCGCGGCCTCTGCGGGCGCTGGGGGGTCTCTCTGAGGGAGGGGCGGCTTCGGGGGGCCCCTGAGAACCAGGGTCCCTGATGCCCCTCTGCTAGAGCCCGGCCTGAGTGCCCACCGTGCCCTGCCGGCTGGCAGCCACATAACCGCTGCTCCCCGGCCCAGCACCAGGCGAGGCGCAGACCCGCCCCCGTCTTGCCGCCCTGGACCGATGCCCTCCTCCCGTCCAGCTCTCGCCCTCCCCGGGCCCCTTTGCTGTCTCCACACCCCGGCCCTCCATCCGTTTCTCAGCAGGCTGGAGCACTGGCCAAGTGAGGCTGCAAGTCTGGGACCCGGAGAGGGGCTCCTGTTCCCCCTGGGCTGAGGGGCCCCGGGAGGGCGAGGACGTTCAGGCCTGGGGTCACCAGGGGGCGGACTCGCCCACGCTGCCTCGAGGGGCTCAGGCCCACGGCCACCTCTGCCTGGCCGCCCTCAGGCTGCCAGGCAAGGGCCCAGCTTCCGCCTCCCAGGTCCCAGGCGGGGTCCAGCACAGACCCTGGGGACGCTGCTCCCAGCACATCAAAGGCTGCCTTTGAAGCCGTGAGCCCCGGTTCAGGGTCTTTGTTCTCTGACGCACCATCCAGTCGCTGGTAGGTCAGGACGGCTCTGCCCCCGGGACCCCCGCTCTGTGGCACCCCCACCGGTGTGGGTGCCCCAGGCTCGCCCACACGCCCACCCTGTTCTGGGCTGAGGACCCCCTTGCCCAGCAAGACCGTGGGGATCCGTGTGGGCAGAAAGCAGCACCTGCCCGTCCGTGGGCCCGCGTGTCACCCCAGGCTCTGCTGCCGGGGCTCCCGCCACCCCTCACCTCAGCCTCAGGGCCCGGTGGGCCCCTGAGCCCAGACCCTCAGCCCAGCCGCCTGCGCCTCCGGGAGCCCCCGCCGCTGCCGCACTGCAGGGCCAGCCCCGGGCAGCAGGGGGCGCCCCAGGACCAGCCGGGCCGGTGGGGACGCTAGGCTCCTGGGCAGCTGCTGCCCATCCGTCCCGTGGTGGGTGGCTGCCTGCCTCACTGCCTTGGGTTCTGGGCCCCTGCCCAGGGGTCCTCCCCATAATCTCCTGGTTCCCTGTGGCCACATCCACAGGACAGCCGGCCCTCTGCACGTGCACACTGGCCCGCTGGGGGCCCCGACAGGCCATTACCTCCTGGGGGTGGGGGCTCCCGAGTCGGGGTCGCTCGCGGGCAGGCAGCAGCTGCCCCGGCTGGTTGGCGCCTCCCCGCGTCATCCTGGCCTACGTGCCTGGAGGGCCGACCGGTCCCTGGGGAGGCCTGGGCCCCAGCCAGGCTGGCAAGGGGTGGGGTCCCAGGGATGGGTTCCAAGGCTGCGGGCCCCAGGCCCTGACCGCCCAGGCCCCTCCCAGGGGCTGTGGGCGGTGGCAGAGGCAAGGCGCTCTGGCCTTCCTGCTGCGAGAGGAGTGTGGCTCAGGAAGCCCTCACACAATGGCCCACGTAGGTCCCGGGAGGGCAGGGGGCCAGAATGGTGGGACCCGGCCGTCACTACCACTTTGGCCCTGGCGAGGCCAGTGGAAGGCCGTGGTGGGACAGGTGCCAGGCAGGCTTGTGGCAGGCAGGCAGGCTGCCACACATCACAGGGGCACCTGCAGAGGCCACGCAGACTCAGCTGAGCCCCGGAGGCCTGGCTGGCTGGAGGCAGCGCCGTCCTGCCAGACAGCGTGGGGACCGTCCTTTCCTTGGCGAGGAAGGCCCTTCACCCCATGCAGACTGAGTAATTGCTTCCCCCACCCAGAGGTCATAGTGAATAAGGACATTGTCTGCCAGGTGCCCGCCTTGGTGGGGCCTGGGAAAATGCCCATGCAGGGCTTGGTGGGGGCCTGGCTGCCGTGGGCGCTGCCACCAGCCTCAGCAGCTGTGGAGCTGAGCTGGCAGCTGGGGGGATGCTCCCAGGGTGGGAGGTCTTGGGTCAGTTGGGGCCACACCAACAGGACCTGAAGGCAGGGGGCAGGGACCCCGGACAGATCTCCCAGGGGTCTTGCACCTCTTGCTTTCCCTCCCCACAAGCCCCTGCCATGTGCTCCTTCCAGCCACATGCAGGGCTCTGGAAAACAGTCCCCGTTCATCAGTTCATGGGTTTACTTCCTCAGCAGACCTCGCCGAAGCTCTGAGGGTCTGTGGTCGGCCGTGAGGACAGGGACAACTCCCAGGGGAACGGCCCCCATGCTGCGGGCAAATGCGGCAGCAGGGGTGGGCATGAGCAGAGCCACTGTGCGGGGCAGAGGCGAGGGGGCCGCGGGGGGACGGGGCTCCGGGCAGGGCTGAGCGGGAGGGCCCTGTGGTTGTCACCGGGGAGCAGGCAGAAGGGCCTGCAGTGATGGAGATGTGGCTTGAGGGCTGGGCGCCGAGCTCACCAGCCTGTGGATGGCACTCCACCCCTCCCCCTAGTTGGTGGACCCCAGCTGGACCCTGGGCAGAGACAGACTTTCCCAGTGATGGTCAATGACCCAGCCTGGGAATGTGAATCTTGGGGGTGAGGGGGTGGCGTGGTGGTCATGGGCCAGGCCACAGGGTGCAAAGGAGCGTTGTGCACACGTGGGCACACCCTGAGCAGAGTCCCCACTTCTAGTCCCACAGGCATGGCAAGGGGGTCTACTTGGCCAGCCTGCAGGCAGCCCTACAGGGTGGGCCTGAGGGGGACGGCTGGTGTGTGCCACGAGGACCCTCTTGTAGGGTGTGTGCATGCGTGTGCACACTCGTGCATGTGTGGGGGTCAGTGCCACAAGGACCTGGCTCCAGGGAGGGGTCTGCACTTGTTTGGGAAGGGCCCGCCCCCCACCCCACTGCTGGTGGTTCCTTTAGCATTTATATCTGGCCCAGTGGGTGCCTGCGAGTTCAGACCAAGATGAGCCTCCCAGTGCCCTCTCTGCCCCATCCCACCCCCAACTTCAGTTCCCGTCCTGACCCACATGGTGTCCCCAGGCGCACTGGGTAAGGGGTGCACTGGGGTGAGGGAGGAGGGATCTGCCTGTGAGCGGCAGACTCTGGGTTCCCGCTGGTGCGGTCTGGGGGCCCAGGAACGGTCAGAGACAAGTTATGTGGAGTGGAGGCATCCCCTGGGA